ATATATTTCTGTCTACATAAAGGTCATTGCAAAAACAGTTAAAGCTAAGAGCACGGATCTGGGGTTTTTGTTTTTTCAATTACTTAACGTTATAACTCTTTAAAAGTACAGAGTTTTTCTAATGCCTCAAGCAGATCTATTGATTTTTTTTTTCTTTTCAGTTCTGTGGAACTGATGTTTATTCACAAGATATTTGTACTGTATGTTGAAACACTTATTCTAAATGTTATCCTGAGGGGGGAAATGCAGGTAGAGTCAGAAGAAATCCTTAAAGTTATTGATGGAAAAGCACATTTTTTTTTTCCTTTACAAAGTAACTGAGGTTTGCTAAATTCAAATCCTTGTAGGCGACTACAGCTGAAACTCTAAAATGCTTTGTTTGTTTTGGGGTGTTTGTTCACTGCTCTCAAAGTATTTGAGGAAGAGTCTCCATTTTTAATATAATGGCACCAAAAGAAAGTATTACTGGGACTGTGGTGAATTTCTTTTCCTTCAAAAAATGTATATTAGGGTTTCTGTATTGTTTTATAGTGGAAAAGTATAAAGAAAGTGCCCTTTTCTTAAAAATGCATCAAGTAAATGGACTCATTCCAAACTGAACATAATCCGTAGTAACTTGAAGGAAGAGGAGACAGAGCTGCTGAAGGTCCCCACTGAGATAGAGCTCCTCGGTTTTTAAGGTTAACTTCCTATTAGCCTGAGATCCAATTTCCCAAAGCCTTTTCCTTTTTCTGCCTTAGATGTAACTACTCACGGGGCCCAGAGGTAGCATTTTTCCAGAGGGGGGGGGGGGGGGGGTTCTGGGTTCATCTCTTTATTCCCTGACAGGAAACAGAACCTGGAGTAGGCGAAACTTTCCACACATCTCCCAGCTGTTTTCTAGAGATTCATCTATCTCACTAATCGGTTTTAGCTTATAAATGCATGCCTTCCTTCGAATTACTTAAAAGCAATGCTCCCCAAAGTGAGATTCCCTGGTGACCCGGGGTGCCACAGGAGACAATTTTAGAATACCGCATTAAATCATCTTGAATATGAAAGTCATTTCCTTTTCAACTCTCTTTTAATCCTCTGGTCTAGTCAAGGAGAAAGTCTCCATTTGATGCCAGGATGTCGAACACTTTGCACACTTGTTAACCTCCACGGTAACAAAGGAAAATAAGCTTCTGACTCAGGCCTGCCAGCAGGCACCAATCACTACCCAGAAGTTAATAAGCCATATTATTGTCATTGTATGCATTTGAATAGTGATATTTTTCAAGCATTTTTTAAATAAATGTATTTAAGGTTTAAAAATGGAACCAATTTAAAAGAAAAGAATCAGTTTGCAATGGGCTAGATCCTTGCAGCTTAAAATGAGATCAGTGGACCGGCCACAGCCGCCTCACCTGTGAGCTTGTTCGAGTGCCGGATCTTTGGCCTCTCTCACGCCTACTGAATCAGAATCTGCATGCATGCATGTATGCATCCCTGCATTTATTCATTCATTCATTCATTCATTCATTTATTCATTCATTCATGAGGGAGAGAAAGCAGGTCTAGGCCTGCCTGCTTTGAGTGGCATGGGAGAGGCAGAGGGGGCGGAGGAGGGAGGCAGACAAGCACACTCAGGGCTGAGCACAGAGCCAGATGCAGAGTGCAGGGGCTCTATCTCAGGACCCTGAGATCATGGCCTGAGCCAAACCAAGAGCCAGAGGCTTAACAGACTGAACCACCCAGGAGCCTCCAGTATCTGCATTTGAAACAAGATTTCCCATGTGACTTGAATACACTTTAAAATCTGAGAAACTCGGGCACCTAGGTGGCTCAGTTGGTTGAGTGACTGCCTTCAGCTCAAGTCATGATCCTGGAGTCCCGGGCCTGAGTCCCTCATTGGGCCTCCTCCTCAGCAGGAGGTCTACTCCTCCCTCTGTCCGTCCTCCTCTCATGCTCGCTCGCTCTCATGTTCTCTCTCCCAAATAAATAAAAATCTTAAGAAAAAAAAAAAAAAAAAAATTTGAGAAGCTCTAAGGTGACACAAGACTTTGTCCAAAACCATGCGGGCAGCTTGCAAATGGCTGAACTTTGGGGTTCACCGTTTGAACTGGCTAGCACAGGTCAGAATGACAAAGGGGATAACTTCAGTGACTGCCAATGGGAAGTCACTAACCATCCACGGACCGCGAGGCCAGTGCAAGAATCTGAATCAGTAGTGTTGAGCGTGTTGTAGGTAGGCTAAAATTACCTTAAACATGCTCCTGTGCCATCCTGTCATGCTGCACAGATCCTTCTTTTTTACCAGCGAATACTACAGTAAAAATTCTACTCACCCTCCCTTTCATCCTTCCTCCTCCCCCTTCAAGGGCTGGGGATTTCTGTACACCTTCCACATAAGAATGAGTGAAAAGCCTCCTTGTACCTACTAAATTAGCATGCCCTGGACTTTTCTCCCAGAGTTGAGCACAATTAAAGAGAAGATTATGCTTAGAAATTAAGACAGTCTGGGTCTTCTTATCTGGTGATACCATAAGAGGCAAAAGAACACTTTTCCGGGTGCCTCCCATCACTGCCCCAGAGAAGCCACAGGGTCACCTGTTCACCAGGATGGGTGGCCCATTTATTAAGTCAATGATCAGGTAGGTCAGGCCAAAATTCTACTTCTGCATTAATTCTAAGGACACCTTCATGATCTACAGAATTTGTCTGAAATACAGAGTAAAATAATGCCCAAAATATACCAGACTTCTGATACCAAAAAGGTGAAAAATATGTAGTTACAGCCATCTAGGCATTTCCACAATATCCAGGTTCAACAGACGTTAATAAAATGTTTTGATTTCCGCCAGGTGGTAGGCCTAACACCAGAGTCCAACCTCAGAAACTCACCTTCCCAGCACAAAACATGAAGATGAGACCATATGGTTTTGCAAAGAAAATGAAAAGGGAATCTAAATGGGTGAAGAAAAGGGGGAAAATTAACAACGAACAATAGATGCAAAATCATGGTCTTGTATCCCTGATAAGAATTACATGCCATTCATTACAATGAAAAGAACACTGCGAATATTGTTAGATCTTTTTTTCCCTTTAGTTATTTTGAGAATGCACTTATGTAGGCAGAACATTACAGAGAACAAAAAATATATATTACCGTGTAAGATTACTTTAATGGTTCTGAAAGAAGTTAAGAAAAAACAACCAAAAAAAAAAAAAAAAATATATATATATATATATATATACACACACATGGGTATTGAGGAAAATAGAGGAATAATTGCTAATACCTGTGAGTATTCCAAGCAGTCATGCACTCTTCTAATCCTCATGACTCCAAGACAGATGTCATACTCATATTAATAACATTAGCTGCCTGGGTGGCTCTGTAGGCTAAGTGCCTGCCTTAGGCTCAGGTCATGATCCCTGGATCCTGGGGATCGAGCCCCTGCATTGGGCTCCCTGCTCATCGGGCAGCCGGCTTCTCCCTGCTTGTGCTCCCTCGGTCCCTCTCTTTCTCTCTCTGACAAATAAAACAATCTTATAAAAAAAAGAAAGAAAGAAAAGAATGCCATTTCGCAGATGAGAAGGACCTTGACCTGCAAGGTCTCTAAAATAACCTGAGGTCACAAGCCTGAGAGGAGAGCCTGGGAGGACAGCTGGCTAGAAATCAGACACACTTAAAGTCGAAGCACCTTAACACCAGACTCTTCCGCCGGCTTCCCACCAGAGCGCTGGACCGCCCACGTTCGGATGCCTCTTCATCATCACTCTCTGATACGGACACATATAAAGACGTTTTATAAATTTCTAAATTAACTGGTGGAGTCTTCATCAGTTAGAGGGCTGGGCCATTTTTCACAGGACTGACTACACCTCAAAGCAGGAGAACAAACTTGGGGCATTAGATGCTTCCACAGTGATTAGAACTATTTACTTGGCAGAATTATGTTTTAGGGCTGTTTGGGGGGAAATATTAACAGCTGGGGGAAATTTCTGTTGGAAGCAAAACATTATACTTTGAGAAATGCTTAAGTCAAGTATTCCCCTTTTATTAGGACTACTTAATGAAGTACAAAGCGTTAAAATAGCTGGCCTGAATATTTATTAGAGCACCAGCTGTTCCCTCCAGATTTTTAGAAATTCAAGACTTAGTGCCAAGCATAACGTAGAAAAAAAATTTCAACAAGTTAAGAGAGCCCTATCTCTTATAATCGTTCTCTAAATAGTAAATAGTAGCTGAAGAGATAAAGAACATCACTTTGTCTTTTCAGGGAGGGGAGCCGAAGTGTTTTGCCATCCACTTCCAAATACCACCTTGTTATTGAGGTTGCTGATCACATTACTTAAAAAGTATCCCTTGGAGGGCGCCTGGGTGGTGCAGTTGGTTTCGAGCCTGACCCTTAGTTTTGGCTGAGGTCCTGATCTCAGAGTCCTGGGATCGAGCCCTACTCAGCGTGGAGACTGCTTGAGATTCTCTCTCTCCCCGCCCCCCCCCCCCCCCACTCGTGCTTGCACTCTCTCTCCCCCTCTCTAAAATAAATAAAGAAACAAATATTTTTAAAAAGTTATACCTTGCTAATTAGAGTTCGCATGCCACCCTGGGTTTTCTTTTCCTTTCCTTTCCTCTCCTTCCCCTTCCTGCCTCTTTCTTTCTCTTTCTTTCTTCCTTTCTTCCTCACTCTCTTTTTCTTTGTTTTTCTTTCTTTCTTTCCTTCCTTCCTTCCTTCCGGAGTGGCATGATAACTATGTCCCAGGAAAACATTTCAGAGAAATAATTTAGACTTTATTTCCAAATTCTATTTCTTTCAAACTTCCACTTGAGGAGCCCAGCCATCATCAAATAGTGTTATTTTTTAAGATTTTATTTATTTATCTGAGAGAAAGAAAGAGAGAGAATGAGAGAAAGAGAGAGCGTGAGAGGGGAGAGGTCAGCGGAAGAAGCAGACTCCCCAGGGAGCACGGAGCCCGATGCAGGACTCAATCCCGGGACTCCAGGATCATGACCTGAGCCGAAGGCAGTTGCCTAACCAACTGAGCCACCCAGGCGTTCCATCCAATAATGTCATTTTTTTTTTTTTAAAGGTGGGGTATGGAAACAGAAGAAGTCAAGAAAATAACGGAACAATTCATTATGCACACTGAATATTCTACATTCAACCTTTTCTTTCTAGAGTAGGCTGACAAACATCAGGTTTGGGTATTCCGTGTTGCTTACTGTCCGCAATCTCAGATAGTGCTGCGCATTCGGATCTGAGAGAAGAAATGTCCCTGCCGTGGCGTGACGGCAGAGAAGTCAACGAAACTGCCACAGGGATACAGAAAGCAACTCCCCTGTCGCCCACCCCCGAATGAGGGTACTCAGGGCTGGGGACACAGGAGAAAGCCCCAGGAAAGGGAGGCTGGAAGGAAGAGCACCTTGGGCAGGGAGGCTGATTTCTGAAGGTAAGGACAGATCACTGTCTGGCGCCTGCGGTTAGACCGAATCCCCTGCCTGAAGGGTGCGGGACAGCAAGGGCAAAAGAACAGAATGTCTATTTCTTCATTGTTCCTGTCGAGTAAATAACTAGCTTCTCTCCCTATACGATGCTAATTTTTAGCATACTAATTGCAGCACAAGAGGTTCTATTTAGCAGAGATTTTCTCATTTTGTTTTCAGGACTTTCAGATTTAAAAATAAACTGGCATTTTTGGATTAATAAAAAATTCCATGAAGGATAAAATAGGCCACATTATATTTTTCTCATCAGCAACGAACACTAGCTTCATGTGCTGGTGAAATCATTCACTCTTCGGTCACAGCACAACACTACCCACCCCCAGCTCCCCCAAGGGTCCCCTCCAGACAGCAATGAGAAGAGATGCCACTTCCTGACAAGAACAACAAACCAGAGTGTCTCAAAAGTCAGCGGGGCATCAGAATCACCCGCAGGGATTTAAAAATACAAAACCCAAACAACAAAACACACACACATACATACACACAATACCAGGGCCCCATCCAGGACCTACTGAATCAGGTCCCCTGGAGGGTAGACTAAACTCTCCTAACAATTTACAAATTATGCTACAACATCTATAAAGAGATGAAATACCAACAAATCTTACAGAAGTCACTCTCTAGGTAGTGAGAGGGACTTCTGGGCATGAAGAGATTCCCGCATAGGAGATGGACCTATGCAAGGAATAATTTTGTAAAAACGTGCCTTGACCATCAAGCTTCAAAAAACACCTGAAGGCCTGGGCGTCTGGGTGGCTCAGTCTGTTGAACGTCTGCCTTCGGCTCAGGTCATGATCCTGGAGTCCTCGGATCCAGCCCTGCGTCAGGCTCCCTGCTCAGTGGGAAGTCTGCTTCTCCCTCTGCCCTTTATCCCACTTGCATGCTCTCTCTCTATTAAAGAAATAAAATCTTTTAAACACACACACACACAAAAACACCTGAAGGCTAGAACGGTGGTTTTCAATAGTCTATTTGAGCAGCAGACCCCTTTTTTCAAGCCAAATCCTTCCTGATATCCCAAAATATTAGCCCTAATGGCTGACTCCTCAGGAGGGAAGAGAGGTCACAGATCCTTCTCATCAGACCCCAGTCATACCTCAAGGAAGCCTGGGGCTGGCAGGTAGCAACAGTTTAAAAACCACTGGGCCAGACTAAGATATGTAAATGGGATAAATAAATAGTGCTAAATCTAAATTCAAATAATTAACTGGAGGGTTAGGGCTTCTGATGAGCACTTAGCCTAGGGAGACGTGCTTCACAGAAGTTCACCTAAAAAGAAGCGAAGGTTTCATTTCACTAGAAATTCACTTTGAACCAGCCGTGTTCTCTGGATGCCAGGAAAAGCCTGTACAGTTTTAGCTTAGGTTAATAACTCCTATTTGCACTGAGAGATTTACCTTTCACGAAGCACGTGCATGCTCTCAATTAATACTGGATAACAACTCTCTGAGATGTTGGAATTATTTCCCCATATTTTAGACAAGCAGCTGAAGTATCATTTGCGAGAGTAACCTATTCAAACACAAATCCAGGCAGTAGCAGAGTCTTCTACCTCTAGGTTCAGCATGGTCTAGAGACTTAAGGGGAAGTTCAAGGGTGACAGCCCACTGCTCTCTGGATGGGTGGAAGGGTATGTGAAGAATGTGTTCCGTTCTGGTTACTACAGTAATGAAAGTGTGTCTAAATGGGACCACAGGCAGAGTATCACGACCAGGGCAAAGAACAATCTGGAAATCGTACAGGAAGAATACATGAAGGAACTAAGAACTTATAAAGATGAAAAACAGAAGTTTTAGGAATGACATAATATCCTTTTTTATTTTTGTTAATTTAAAAAAAATTTTTTTTTAATTTGAGAGAGAGACAGAGATAGTGAGCAAGAGCACTTGAGTGGGGAGGAGAAGGAGAAGCAGGCTCCTCAGTGAGCCTGGAGCCCAATGAGGGGCTCGATCCTAGGATCCTGGGATCATGACCTGAGCTGAAGGCAGCTGTTTAACTCACTGAGCCACCCAGGTGCCCCCAAAATACCCTTTTTTAAATAATGAAGGGCTACCAAGAAGGCAGGTAAGTCTTGTTTTGTCACCTAGGGCCTTCTCCTTCTCCTTCCTGAAAAATTCTATCCTAAAGCCATTACTGGAGACCAAGCAAGATTGGTCTTTGTGCAAGGATGGGTATGGCAAAGGATGTGGAAGCCCAGAGCAGGGTATCAGAGCCTGATCAGAGTGAGGAGTGTTCATATTGGGGGGCAGGGTATGGTATTCGTGTTGCAACATCAGCATATAAGGTGGGAAACCATATGAGGGACAGGGGAGCTGTGGAAGACTGGCTACATATTAGGAGAATTTGTCAAATAAGTAAATTGTGAAGAAAGATGGGAGCCAGGAATTCACTGTTGAAGAAGGTATTTATAAATATAAAAAAGGAAAAACTTAGAATAAACCCTGTGGTATCGAAGAGGAATGTGAGTTATCATTGAACTCATGGTTTCAAAATATAAATAAATATAGAAATGCATATTTAACGTATGTACATCCATATATATGTATATACAGACATATATCTCACAGTTCTGTCCACTGAGAATTCCCAGGGCTGGTGATACCCTCACAGCTACGAGCACACTTAGCAACCACATCTTGGCTTCTAAATACCATCTGCCATTCAAAGGAACCAGTGCTCCTTGGAGAAATGGCTGATACAATAGATCACACCAGTAACTTACAAGATAAGGTTGGAACATCTTGTTCCTCCAGAAAGCAAAGAAGTACTCAAAAAATGATGGGAGTAAATGGGCATGGGAGGCAGCACAGAAAGACCATCACCGACTGCCAAACCTGGGACCAACTGCAACATCCAAGTAGGGAGAGCAACAGCTTAACTAAAACACACCGAGAAAAAACAAGGAAACAGTAAGCTCTTACTGATAAACAGATTGAAAATTTGATGAGGACTGATGAGATCTGGGCTATTTACATTGTTTCAAAGTAACCTGTCACACAATATGTACAAATTACGAAAGGAAAAAGACTAACTTTATGGTGGAGCAGCTTGGCAAACAAGACTTTAAACAAGTGACCATTGTCAGTCATAGGACAAACAGAAATCAGTGCCATCTGATGGGATGCAATGAGACAGACGTAGCTCCATTTCTGTGGTTTTCCTGCCAGAGATGCACAGCCTGAATTTAAGGAGGAGAAGACGGAAGACAAACCCTAATCGAGGAACATTTTACAAAATGACTGGTTTATAATCTTCAAATGTATCAAGATCTTGACCGGGAAGGACTGAAGGAGGTAACTAAACATCATGTGTGTTCTGTACTGGGTTCTTTGCTTTACAAGACATGATTGGAACAACTGGGAAACTTGAAAGAGGTCTAAGGGTTAGACGATGGTAACAGATCAGTGGTAATTTTCTGGCTTTGAAGGCTGTACCCGTGGCCATCTAGGACAATATCCTAGTTTCTAGGAAATATACGCTCAAGTATGGCATGACAGCCATTATCCTGGCAACTTTTTCTCAAGTGATTCAGGATGGAAGTTATAGGGAAAGAGATTACATCTACTTGAAGGACAAATGAAACGTGGTCCAAAAAACAGATCCCTGCTTAAACGGGTTGGCAGGATGTCACAGAGAAAATGCTTCACTGAATAGGAAGTTAGAGGAGATGACGCCTAGGTACTTTCCAATGATTTTGTAATTCCTTCATTCCACCATTATCTATTAAACACCTACTGTATTTCAGACAGTGTGCTAGACCCTGGGTTTATGGAAATGATGGAGAGACAGTCCCTGAAGTTAAGGCTTTTATAATCAAGTGAAGTATAATGATTCAGAAGTTAGAAATGGAAGACAGTCATCAGTGTTACATATGGAAAGAAGCATGTGTCTTCAATACTCCATTGTCTTTAATTGTCTTTAATAATCTAATTTTCATTTATGAATTTTCAATAGACTACACATAGTTTATTATACAATCATATTCTTTAACATTTTCATCCTAACTCTTTGTGTTAGTGGGTGGTGTTAATTGAGGCATATGCAAAAACTTTATCACTTTTCAATTATGAACAGATGTAAGTGACTTACTTGATGTTTTATTTTAAAATTAAAAGCATCTTCTAAAATAAGTTTCAAAGGAGAAGCTAGGGCTATCGTTACTAGAGGAGATTAAATATTCCAAAAGTGAACCCTGACATGTTCTCCAACAGCTCAAAAGTCACCCCACATCTCTGTGCTCCAATTTTTTCATCTGTCACGAAGATGTCATAATATGCTTTAAGATGCTGTGAGATGCTTAGAAGAAAAAAAATCCTAATTAGAAAGCTTTGTTAAAATACAGGTTGCTTTCACCTTTTGCCAGGGACTAACTATTATTGTGGACATACTGAGACAGAGTGATCCATCTAAATGAGCTCACCTTGGCAATTTGATGGTGGGTGGAACATCATTTGGTTTTCCAACTCCCCCCCCCCTTGGCTTCATTTCTGTCTTCTAGCATATCATCAAACGTAAATACTTCAGTGTCTGTTCTCACTGACCCAAGTGTGAGCAGCCAGACTAAGCAAGTCCAATATTCAATTATTTTCCCCACTGAGGTCTCTACACCTTTCTTACACTTTTCCCATATGACACTTTCATAACCATATTTAGTTTTCTTCCTACCATCTCCCTGTAATTCAAAAGGCAATTTAGACTCCCATATGGTTGCCATCGAAGCTAACAGATGTCTAGCAAATTAAAACAAAAATTATGACTTATAAACTGCTGATGTATCGTCATTCCAGAACATCTTACAATTTATAGTGAATCATAAGATAAGGCTTCCTACTTGATGCTCCCCCAAGGTTCCCTAAATCTCTCTCCCCTCGGAATTTGAGCCCTGAGCAAACAAATTAGATACAACATTCTGCTATGAAGCCAGGATAAAGCTCCACTTAAAGATACAATGTAATATTTGAAAGCACATCAAAGAGAAATTTGGCCTCAAGTATCCAAGGCTGTTCTAATCGTTGTTCTGGGAGTAGAAGAGAAAAACAAGTTGGGTTTTCCCAAATCATTCTTGGTTTTCCCAAGTCATTCAAGGTTTCCGGTGATCCATGGGGCTTTTTTCTAATAAGTAAAAATTAAATTTACTGCATTCACTTGCCTCGTCTCCTTGGCAGATCTTAAGGATAGTATCACTACCTGGTAGTAATGATGCTAAAGTATTCTAGAAGTTCTGTAGTACAGGATGAAAGTATAAAGCCTTGAGGCAGTATCAACAATGATATTCACCATTGTTTAATTACTGAGACACTGTACTGGGTAGTATGTTATCTCACTGAATGCTTGAAACTACAATTCCTTTAGATGTTATCCTTCCTTTATAAACAAGAAATCATGGCTCAGTGCAGCAGAACGTATGTTTCAAAGATGGCCGCCATTCACACAACCTTGACCTATGTCCATCAAAAGGTGGAACTTCTTTCTTCACCACTGCTCAAAACTGAGCAGGATCTACGTGTGCTGTAATAAGTAAAACAGATGAAAGTGACATGGGGCCAGCCCTGGGGTGTAGCCTTAACTGGCTGGAAGCTTCTACCAGTCTCAGAGACAGGAAGGCGGCACATGGAGGTGGCTCCACCAACAAGCCTGGCTGAGGTCTAAGAAAGTAGCAACTCCCAGTCATGTGAGGATGCCATCTTGGGCATCCTAACCCTGACAGCTCCAGCTCTAGCCACATCTCGCTACAACTGCCCAAGACATCCTAAGTGCAATTGCCCAGATAAGCCTGGTCAAATCTGGTTTTGTTTTAAACCACTAAGTGTTGGGGTTGATTGTTATACAGTAACAGATCAACACCAGAATGAGATCAACTTACTGGCCTCCGAACACTTAAGAATTAGAACCAAAATCCCAAAGAGCCCAAAGCAAAACATCTACTAATGGTGGGTGATGGGATGTGGGGGTTCAGGACCCAAAAGCGACTTGAAAACAAAACTCCCCTTCTCTCCCCTTGCCCACCTCAAAGCAGCCTAAGGGTTTTACAAGAAATGTCCAAATATGGTAACACCCTCAATAAAATCAATTCCCTCTGGCTTGAGTTC